GCTCCAGGAAGCTCCCACTTCCATTCGGGTCCCAGAGTCGGCTCATGGAAAGAGGCACCTTGAACTTACCAGTGGGCAGAGGTGGTCCAGGCCTCCCATCTTAATAATAATAATAATAATAATAATAATAATAATAAAAAATTTTATTTATACGCCGCTCTCCCCAGCCAGAGACAGGCTCAGGGTGGCTAACACCAGTAAAATTTCAGTGAAAACATAATAGGGGGAAAACCCCAATTTAAAATACAGATTAAAATGCAATTTAAGATGCAGCCTCATTTTAAAAGTAGCCCATAGATCAAAACCATAAGGGGAGGGAAACATAGGGGTCAGACTGTGCCCTGGCCAAAGGCTTGGTGGTGTGGGATGTAAAATACAGGAGCAGTCAGTTACAATATTCCTAGAGTGTACATGTTGAAACATGGGGAGGGATGTCTGTCCAGCCAGCAGGTAAACTTCCTGGGACAGACTTCCTCCGCATGTGACCAGAGGTGGGTGTGACCTCACCTGTGCAGGTAATGATAAAAGCACAGGGCAGGGCAGCCATCTCTCTCTCTCTCTGCCATCTTCCTTCGAAGCAGCAACATCTGCTAAGATGCCCTCTTGGCTCCCAGCCAAGAGAGGAGGAAAGGACTATCTTCCTATAAGATAGATTCTAAATGTATTTTACCTTTTTAAGCCTGTCTGCCTTCTGGGATCCTATTGTGAACAGAACGTGAGTAAACTCTTTTATACATTTATGAAAGACTGTGTCGTGTCTTGTATTTTAAGAGGGAACAAAGGGGAAATTACCAGAGTAATTATTATAGAGGTTCTAGCGAACCTGTGCACACATTACCGTTGCGAACTTAAAAGGGGAATGTCTATTAACTCTGCTGATATTTTGGTAACTTGTTAGCACAAGTTGGATAAGGATATAATCTCACAATATATCCTCTCCTGCATCCCTGAACATTCCCACAGGTGGAACAGCTCCGTCTTGCAGGCCATGCAGAAAGATGTCAAATCCCGCAGGGCCCTGGTCTCTTGGGACAGAGCATTCCACCAAGTCGGGGCCAGTACTGAAAAGGCCCTGGCTCTAGTTGAGACCAATCTAGCCACCTTGCGACTTGGGACCTCCAAAATGTTGAGAAACTCCAGCAGATCATCCTGAGATGAAAATGACTAGCCTGATTCTGCTCTGGGCTGAATGGGAGGAAAGTGGACTATGGAACCCTCTCCCACAGGAGGCAGTGCTGGCCACCCACCTAGACGGCCATCTATCATGGATGCTTGAGCTGAGATTCCTGCATTGCAGGGGGTTGAACTAGATGACACTCAGGGTCCCTTCCAATTCTACGATTCTATTATCCCCCCCCCTTCCAGTTATTGCAAGAGCCGCCATCAGACCCTATGATTCTATGAAAAGAGGATTGGACAGATTCATGGAGGAGGAGAAGGCTACTGGCTCCCAGCCAAAATGACTAGGTTCTGTGTCCACATAGGAGCCAACTCCTAGGGGCCAAGGAGACTTCGGCCCCCACAATAAAATGGGGGCTGCCCCAAAGTTGACGGGCATTGCCATTCAAATGCTCCGTGTGTGTGCCACATCATGTGATGATCATGAGGGTGGGACTTACTTCCCCCCCCCAATATTTTATTAAAGTTGGCCCCCCTGAAGGCAGCAATGGAAGCCACAGGCAGGGAGAGGACTCTCCTGCTGGGTCCTGCTTGCCTGTTTATAATAATAATAACAATAATTTATTATTTGTACCCTGCCCATCTGGCTGGGTTTCCCCAGCCACTCTGCGCGGCTTCCAACAAAGATTAAAAATACATTAAAATGTCACACATTAAAAACTTCCCTAAACAGGGCTGCCTTAAGATGTCTTCTAAATGTCAGATAGTTGTTTATCTCTTTGTTGTTTATCTCTTTGACATCTGATGGGAGGGCGGTCCACAGGGCGGGCGCCACCACCAAGAAGGCCCCCTGCCTGGTTCCCTGTAGCTTTGCTTCTCACAGTGAGGGAACCGCCAGAAGGCCCTCGGTGCCTCAGTGTCCAGGCTGAACGATGAAGGTGGAGATGCTCCTTCAGATATACTGGACCGAGGCCATTTAGGGCTTTCAAGGTCAGCACCAACACTTTGAATTGTGCTTGGAAACGTACTGGGAGCCAATGTAGGTCTTTCAAGACAGGTGTTATATGGTCTCCGCGGCTGCTCCCAGTCACCAGTCTAGCATTGTTTCCCACAATGAGCAGACATTTGGACTAGGCGGGGCCTTGACCCGAATCTGCAGGCTGTTGCAAGCATCCTTCTTCCTACAGGAGCTGAGGGGGCGGCTATCAGAGCAGAAGGTCCATTTTGAGACCAGCCACCCAATCAGAGCCCAAGATCGTTCCAGCCTCTGGACTCCACAGCAGGTGGTCAGCTGGGAGGGGCAACCAAGCCCCGCCCCTTTCACCACAGACTCACAAGTCTGTGCACGGCAGGACCCCTTCCCAAGCCTCCTTCCACTAACTAGGCTAGGAGGGTCCCTTGATGGATCAGACCCAAAGTGCCCCCCTAGCAAAGCTGTCAACGTTTCCCTTTTTTTTAAGGGAAATTCCCTTATTCCGAATAGGATTCCTCGCAAGAAAAGGGAAAAGTTGACAGCTATGCTCCCCAGGCCAGCATCCTCTTCCTCACCTCGGCCTGTCAATGTCCTCCTGTGGGGAGCACACCAGTTTGGAGGCAGTGGCGACCCCCCCCCCGCTTGCCCCTCTGCTCTACACCAAGTGACAGCCTGGAGGCGTCACTGGGCTGCCTCGAATGAGCTTCACACCCGCGAGATCCTTCGGCGGACTGGCTGGGGCTGCCTTAGGAGCGCAGCAGGGCGACCCTGGTCCGGCCCCCCCTTAACGCTGCTGCGGCCCGGCTCTGCCTGCGAGGCTGCCCTGTCTCCAGCTTGGCCGACTCTCCGCTCTGCTCCCCTGGGCACCCCATCCCATAATAATCGGCGGGGGAGACAGGGCTGGGCCCATCGGCCGGAATTGCGCCCAGCAAGAGCGCATCTCCTGCGGCTCTGGCCCTAAGTGACCCGGGAGCCGCTGCCGGCCTCTCCTCTGGGGCCGTGAGCCGAGGGGCTCCGGGAAGCGCCTCCGGCTGGAAAGGCGCCGCCCGCGGCCCCCTTGATCCGGCCAACCGCCCCAGCAGGCGCTTAATTGCTAATCGCGTTAGTTGCGCCTCCGCGGGCGATCTATAGCAATCGGGTTAGCGCGGAGGGCCAATCCCGGTGGGCAAAGATTGAAGGGGAGGCGTCCCTGCCGGGTCTTGCGCGCCGTCCAGCGACTCTCCCAGCTGCGCTCGCGCTCCGCCGAGCGGTTTCTCCGCGCGTGTAAAGGCAGCGCACCTTGCGGGGAGGCGCGCGGCTGGCGGGAGGCCTCCGCTCCCTGCCGGCTCGCAAGCGAGGCGACGGCGCCCCCGGGGAAACGGACGGCTGGAGGGGAAGGACAGGAGGCCCCGCGGTCTCGGGAAGCCCAGAGAGAGGTCGAGGAGCCCTGGACGGTGCGGTCCAGCCCAAGGCGACAATGGGGTGCGGCGCGCATCTGGCTTCAGGCCGAGGGAGCCGCGTTGACCAGGCTTGTCGCCTCTGGCTGGCGGCGCCGTCGTAGAATCCTAGAAGTATAGAGTTGGAAGGGACCTCCGTGGTCATCTAGTCTAACCCTCTGCAAGGCAGGCAAAGCTACCCAGCTAACGCGAGCAGGAAGGCGGGGGCAGGCGCTTGATGCCGAATGCTCGGAGGCAGGCTGTGTTTAAATTATTACATAAAATGCTTTATTTGTAGTTGCATTGTATTCGAGCTGCCACAAACAATGTTTTCGGCGTGTAGCCAGTATTTTCCCACGGCCCGCTGGCTTCCCCCTGGAGGGTGCGGTACCTAGCGACGGAGTTTCACGCGTGGATCACGAGTTAAGTCACGAGGCAGCGGCGAGAGGAGCTGGAACCGGAGCGTCTTTCCCGGTGTTTAGATATGCAAATGAAGCCGCTTGCAGACGCACAAAGAATCGCAGGTAGCCGTCGGTCTGTGGGTATTGGCCAGCAGCAGGGAGGGGGAGGAGCAATATTTTGATTTTTAGCTGGAAAGCTACTTTTTAATAAAAGATGTTTAAAGGCTCACTTTGGGACCAGTGGGAGAAAGGTTGTAAGACTGAAACCAACGTATCTTTTGTAACATTTAAAGGTAAGTTATGCAAGCAAGGCTTTAAGAAACTTATTTATTGTAGTACAGATTTATTTCTGCGCAAGATTCAGGTCAGAGTTCTTCTGTTGGCCTTAGATCTAACAGACTGCCCCTGTCCACCGGGGCTCAGGGTCCGCGAAGCCCCTTCCGTTGCTTTCTCATAGCCCCCGAGTCCGGCGAAGGCGCGTGGCTCTTCTGCCGGACGCGGACACGCGGGTTGACGATCTCCCAGGCTGCTTTGCTTGGGCTTTCAGGACAGGCTGGGCGAAGAAGCTGGTCATGGGCCAAAGCACCGGTTTTCAAGGGGAGCGAGCCCCGATTTCCCTCCAGACAAGACTCGCTTTTCAGTTGTTGGTTTATTCCGTTTGTAAGCCGCCGGTTTGCAGGGCGCTTAAAGGGAATACTGTACATAACAATACAGATAAACCCGGAGCTGTGTGGCGTAGTGGTCTGAGAGTCGGGCTCGAGAGAGAGCAGGGTTCAAATCCCCACTCGGCCATATAGCTTCCCGGGTGACCTTCGTTGCCTCTCAGCCTACCTCGCAAGACTGTTGTGGGAATTCCTTGAGGGTGGGGAGAACTGTGTGCGCCACCTCAGGCTCCTTGGAGGAAAAGTTGGCATATTAATGGGACGAGCAATTAAGCAAACAGGAGCCAACTGCAACCAGCAGATCCGCAGGAGATAGACGCGCCGTCTGAAGGCTGCGGCCTGGCACTTGTTTCCTAGCGGGCGCCGTGGGCAAGGGATGCGCGCCCGGCGCAGCCTGAAACCCAGGCGGCGGAGGATCTCCCTGCGAGCCGGGAGCGCGCAATCCCGCGCTGCTACCGCCCTCGAAGCAGGAGCATCTCCGCACCCAAGGACTTCCCTCCCCGCTTTTGCTGGGCGGCCTGTTCCTGGACGCAGTTCAAGGTGTTGAGTTTATAAGCCACTTTTATGAGGGGCGGCCTGGCTTCTCTCAGGATCACCCCTCGGGCTCCACCGTTGCTCGCGAAGGCCGGCGAGGCGTCTGCCACGGCTGAACTGACCCGGCTTCACCTCTTCTGGGTTCTCGAGGAAGCAAAAGGTTTCTGTAAGGAGAAACTGAATCTTCCAAGCGGTTGGCCTCGCACTGGTTTGGATCCACTCCGGGGACCGACCGATCCAGAAAGATGCAGCCCTGGAATTGGGGGGCGGGACCTATTGGTACACGACCCCATTCCTTTCAACGGGGCTTGTCTAGCAGCAGTCGCGGTGGATCGGGTCCTGTCTTTTCACAATAATTTAGGACGCCTGGACGTTGGCTGTATAAGCACTGAGCTCCTCAGGGGACCTTTGCGCGCGCCAAGCGTGGGCAGAACAAGAAGCCGCGACTGGGTCTGGAAGGGAAGGGGGGAAGCAGCCGACCTACCCCAGAGACCCCGCCCCAGTTTAACGAGGACAACAAACCTCGTGACTACCACCCACCCTCTTAGGCAAAGTCCCCTCGGGTCGGCCGCCTGCCTGCTTCTTAGACTCTTCCAAGCCCTTCCTGGTGCCAAGTGAATTCAGGTCCTGCCTTGTTCCGCCGTAAATTTTTTTGGGGGGTGTCAGGGAACCCCTTTATGTCTTCGCTCCCCTTCTGCAAAAGGAGGAGGATATTGACTAGCCAACTGTCAAAAAAGAAAATGCATTAGAACAATAAAAGTGCAAACATCGTTCAACAAAATTAAGGGCGAATAAAAAGCGAGTCAAACACTCAGTTGCGCATCACAAATAAAACTGACGAGAAGCCAAGGGGTTTGGGGTTTGGGTGCGGCTGTCGGGCGCGGGGTGGGGGCAAGACTCCGCCCCCCAGTTCCACCAAGCAGGGCGTGGGCAAGAGCGCGGGAAGGAAATAAAATACAGTGGTACCTCGGGTTACAGACTCCGCTAACCCAGAAATAGTGCTTCAGGTTAAGAACTTGGCTTCAGGATGAGAACAGAAATCGTGCTCCTGCGGCGTGGCAGCAGCGGGAGGCCCCATTAGCTAAAGTGGTGCTTCAGGTTAAGAACAGTTTCAGGTTAAGGACGGACCTCCGGAACGAATTAAGTATTTAACCCGAGGTACCACTGTACATTGCTCCAGTTCGTACCCTATTCGCAGAGCCCCCGCAAGCAGCCAGCCCGCCCCGCAGAAAGAGGTGAGCTGGCCTCCCCGGCTTGATGTCAGCGGCCTGCGGGATGATATGGCTGCGCTGCGGTCGCAAGATCTATCCAGCCGGGCAGCAGAACAAAGGGGGGCCTCTGTCTGGAACAGCAAAGGCAATTAACAAAGGAAGAAGCTGCTGGATCAGGCCAAAGGGGGCCTGTTCTCACAGTGGCCAACCAGATGCCCATTATGAAAAACCAGCACGCAGGATTTGCGCACAAGAGCCCTCGCAGCTCCTGCGGTTCCCAGCAACAGGCTTTCAGAAGCACCGTTGTCTCCAGCTGTGAAGGTAGAGCGCACAGCTTTCCTGGCCGTGGACAACCTCCAGGAATCTATAGAGTCCTCTCTTAAAGCCATCCACGGCGCTGGCCATCACTGCCTCCTGTGGGAGCGGGTTGATGCAAACCCCCGAGTGGTGGGCCTGGGTCACGGGCCTTCCGCTGCTAGGAGGGGCTGTGCTGACGTGAGAGCCGGAGCCCAGAATCGCCGCTGCGCCCGGGAGAGGGAATGCCGGTCCCGGGCCTGCTGCGCCCCGGGCACAGATGCTATCCGCCTGAGCCTAACCTCAAGGGCTGAGCTGCGGGAGGCTCTGGGCCACGAGAGGCGGGCAAGTGTCGCCTGCTTTGCTGCCAGTCAGTGCAGACATTACGGGGCTAAATGGACTGATGGTCTGATTCAGTATCCTTCCTGCATTCCTTGCTATCTAGCTGGCGCAGAGTGGAGAGCCCCTTCGGCTCCTGGCCCGGCGGAGGGGGAGGCGGGGGGCTGCGCTGGGCTGTCCCAGAGCCGCCGGTGGGAATTCCCCGCCGCGCTGCGGAGGAGCCGGGATCAAAGCCGCCGCTCGTCTCCGCTGACCCCGCTGGCCTCTCCGCAGCCTCGGAAGGCGTGAAAGCGGCTGTCTTTGCCGAAGCCTGCTGTTCCCTCGCCGTCTTATTGACAGCTTAATTTTGCGCCCAGCCATTCCCCTTATTAAAGGGAAATTCATTTGGAAGCAATTTCCATCCGAAAACAGGCGCGGCCCTCCCGAGCCCTCCCCCCGAGCCCCCCCGGCTCAGGGACATAATTGAATTACACCCGCCAGATCTGCATTATTGAAATGGAGCCGCTAAATAATAGATGAGCGGGGGGGGGGCGCCGTTGGCACCGAGGGAGGAGGCCTGTGCGGAAATGCGCCGCAGCTGCACGGCTGCCCCGCCGGGTGCTCGGAGCTGCGCGCTGGCGGGGGAGCAAATGGGAGCTCCGGGACGCCCCCTCTCGCACCATCTGCCGGGAGGGTCACGCTGGGAAGGGGCAAACGGGGCTTGGAGTGGCTCCTCCCCACCGCTCTCCACTTCTAGCCAAATGAGGCCTCAAAGGCTGCGAGGTGCCTAGGAGTCAACACACACGTGTGAGCAGACACTACGTCCGTGTCGGCAAATCAGCTGCGGGTGCGAGGCAGGGGAGGGAGAATGAGATGGGCTCCTTCAAGCTGGGTTCAGCCGCAGCCCAGGATCCGATGCTTGCAGACAGCACCTGCGGAGAACAAGGCGCAAGGCCAGCTCCGACCTTCTCTGCCTTAGCTGTGATTCCTGCATTGCTGGGGGTTGGACTAGATGACCCTTGGGGATCCCTTCCGACTCTAGGATTCTCTCCCACTTCTCTGCTCGCCCAGTGGCCAGACTGAGGCCCCAAAGCGGGGCCTGAGCGCAGCAGCAGCCGAACTCTCCTCGCCTGCGCTTCCCAGCCATTCAAAAGCACGTCCGGCCTCCGACTGTGGACCCAATCCATACTTATTTTTAGTTAGTTGGTTTATACCCCCCCACACACACACCTCGGGGCCCCCATCTAAAGGGCAGAAACACCTGCAAGTCCTGGGAAGATACCAGCCTCTTCCGCTCCTCTGACCCCGAAGTAACGGAAATAGATTTCTGCCAAAGGGCTGGGAAGCTGCCCTTAGCTGAGTCGTTCCTCCTGCCAGCTTCGTCTCCTGGCCCCCCAAGGAGGCTGCCCGGTCCTGGAAGCAGCGGGAGGGGACAGTTTTGCACATGGAAATCCGAGGTTTTCGACAGGAGGAGGAGATGGAGCAGACCTGAGGAAGGCCTGGGGACAGGTGGAGAAGCTTAGATTCGCTGGCTCCTGAGGTGGCTCCTGCTCCTCTGCTGCAGGTGGCTGAGGGGCCAGGAGGTCACCGAGCCCCCCCTGTGGAGCCCAGCCTGTCAACAGTCTCATGTTCAGAACACCCCTCCTTAGAGCATCTTGAAAGCTGGTGTGGCCTTGACAAGAGTCCCACCTCCCGTTATGGAAATATGTGACGTAGCCAAAGATGAAGGAAGGGGTTTGTTAGTCTCTGTGTGTGTTTGCTCTTTTTTCTACTACATATTTTGTGTTTTTATTTTGTATTTTTATGTTGTGAACCGCCCTGAGATCTACCAATGAAGGGTGGAATACAAATTTAATAAATTACTAAATAAAATAAAGATTATTGGCTGTTCTTGTTGAGTTCCGCTTGGACCTTTCCTAAGAATGAGGAACTGGGAACCAGCTGGCAACCAATTCCATCCTCGTCCCCTGATGGGTTCCATCCTGCCTTGGTGTGTGTAACTGTCTTATTCCAAAAGGTCTTCAGAAGATGAGGTAGAAGAATTATTTAAATCGGGTTGGACATTTAATAATAATAATAATAATAATAATAATATTTTTTTATTTATACCCCGCCCTCCCCAGCCAGAGTTATTCTCCATTGCTGGGTCTCAGTTTTAAATGAGAAACATGAGTAGCTTTGAAAGTACTGTATTTTAATCCTTCACTGTTGTTTTAAATGGTTTTTATTCATGTGCTAAGATATAAGGCTGGCCCAGACATAATCCGGGAACTATCTTTAAAATACATAAGACTATTTCTCTGTCCTTGTCCATGGAGTTTTCTTGGCAGGGATACTGGAGTGGCTTGCCGGTTCCTGCTCCAGGTGGATCACGTTCGGTCAAAACTCTCCACTATGAGCATAGCTCATAGCTATAGGTCATATAACTCATAGGTCATAGAAAAGACCCTGATGCTGGGAAAGATGGAGGGCACAAGGAGAAGGGGACGACAGAGGATGAGATGGTGGGACAGTGTTCTCGAAGCTACCAGCATGAGTTTGACCAAACTGCGGGAGGCAGTGGAAGACAGGAGGGCCTGGCGTGCTCTGGTCCAGAGGCGGACACCACTAAAGGACTAAACAACAATTTCTCTGTCCAAGCTGCATCGTCCTCTCCTCTGCCTGGCCAGTGACTCTGCAGGGCTACTTCAGGCGGGGGGGGGTCCCTTCCCCATTCCCCCCCAAACTGATCTCATAAGCTATATAATAGAGGGGTCAAACCAGGGTCCTCCGGCCACCACCATAAAGATACAGAGAAAGATAAATGCAAAACACCTCCGCGCTCATCAAGGAGGCAATCAGCAGCGCGTCCCGGGAACAGCTCCGCCCAGGCGCAAGCGAGTATACCCACCTAATCAACACTGCGTGCCCCGTGGGTGTTGCACTGACACACAAGCCATGTGCTTTTGTTGTATTTGAATTTGATTATTTCATTATGGGAAATCTCTTTGGGAGCCAGCTGGTGGAAGACAGAGCAGGAGAAAAATGGAAGAAATGAAATGGATCGCGCGCTCTCTCTCTCTCTCTCTCTCTCACACACACACACACACATGGCAATTCACATGAACATGCGTGCTCCAAGGCAAACTGTCTTTAACATGCACAGCCAAACACAAGCACACAGACACACAACATTGGGATTTTATTATTTATTTGTTGATAGGATAGGAAATTACTGAGTATTTTCTGGTTATGGCCCGGCCAAACCTCAGCATCCTTCAGTAACTAGCTGGGACATTGTGGTGCCCTGAGACAGAAGGGTTGTGTGGTACCCATTCATTTATCACTACAGAGCCTAGGACTTGCCGATCAGAAGGTCGGCGGTTCGAATCCCCACAACAGGGTGAGCTCCCGTTTCTCGGTCCCAGCTCCTGCCAACCTAGCAGTTCGAAAGCACGTCAAAGTGCAAGCAGATAGATAGTTACCGCTCCGGCGGGAAGGTAAATGATGTTTCCGTGCGCTGCTCTGGTTCGCCAGAAGCGGCTTAGTCATGCTGGCCACATGACCCGGAAGCTGTACGCCGGCTCCCTCGGCCATAAAGCGAGATGAGCGCCGCAGCCCCAGAGTCGTCCGCGACTGGACCTAATGGTCAGGGGTCTCTTTATTTTTACTCTTCTCCAAAAGGAGAGGTGCCAGGGTCAAGACCTCTGACTGGAGTGCCTTTGTCTTGTGACCAGCAACGTGAAGCTAAGCCACAAGACAGAGGAACTCTGCATGTACCCAGAGGCACCCTTGATGATTACATTGCATGTTCAGGTGTGCCTGCATTGTTGAGCGCAGCTCAACCCTGTCTCAAATTACACCTCCAGGTGGTTGTTGTGGAATGTAGAACAGTCAAGTACAACCTTTTCCTGTTGCCTGGAATGAACAGCCAGGGGAATGTGGCTCCAGGCAGGGAGAACTTCCTGTCATACCTGCTCTGGATCTCCCCACCCCACCCCCCCACCCCGTGTGTGACCAGGTAGATGGGCATGACCCTAGCTGACCAGGTAAAAGGGCTGGCCATGCAACCATCTCTCTCTTGGCCTCTTGCTTTCCTGGCTCTTAGCCAGCGCATGGCTCAACCCTCACACAGGATGGAGCCCACAAGCAGAAAGTCTGAGATGTAGCTCAGACTTCTTTTCACTGTAACCGCAAGATGAAGCCTGCCTTCAGATTCCTGCTGTGAACTGAATGTGAGTAAAACTTTATTCTTACTTTTAAAGAAGATTGTGCTGTGTTATTATTAGTTTAAGAGAGGAATAAAGGGGAATTTACCAGGAACAAGCCAGACTGGATTGCTTAATTAAAGGATTCTAAGTTAGTGAGGAGGGATAATATCAAAACAATATATCCTCTCCTACCATCCTTAACATTTGTCCTGTTGGGCTGGACCCCTGATAAGTTGAAAGGGGGCCTAATCCATCTAAAATGAGCCCATTGCATGCATTCTTGGAGAGGAGTCCTTTTGCTTTTTGGCTTTGCAGGGCAAACCCCCCCCCCAAAAAAATGGGTTTTGTTTGTTGTGTTTCCTCCATTGCAGGAGTTGGCCTTCAGGGTCCCTTCTGACTCTACAGTTCTACCATTCCATGAAATCGCAACTTCCTTCCTGCTTGGCTTCACACAAGCTCCTTCCTGACCCAGATAACGTTTTTACATCTTTCAGGCACACCAACCACCTTCCCATTCAATCTGAATCAATCCCTGTCTGTCTGTCTGTCTGTCTGTCTGTCTGTCTGTCTGTCTGTCTCTCTCTCTCTCTCTCTCTCTCTCTCACACACACACACACACACAAACACACATGTGTGTTTCACACCATGTGTGTTTAACCTTGTCTGGGGGATCACCCAGGAATTAGTGTGGGCACATATCCTCTTGCCCCTTTCCTGCCACACTGCCACACTGCCAAGTGCTCCCATTGCCAAGTCCAAGAGAGATCATAAGGCATCGACATCATGTACGCCAAAAGGTCAAAGGGATGCTGGCAGGAGCATGTGAGCACATGGGGGCGCAGCACAAGCCCAGGCATGTCTGTTGGTGGCCACCGGGCTGCTCAGGGTGTGCCAGGACTCTGTGCCAGGGAGACCATGCAGGAGGCGGCTGGGCCACACCAGCCAGATGTGCTGGGGCTTTAGAGCCCCTTTCCATAGCTGTCAAATCAAAGGGGGGGAGGGAGGTAGACAGGAGTTCTAGCATCATGCTCACAGCAGCTGGATGGAGTCCCAGGGTTGCTTGCATCTGTCCCATCAATCACAGCAGGAGGAGGGGCGTGGGCAGCTGTGAGGGCCCACCTGCCTCTGCCAGCCTCGGCTGACTTGCCCCTGAGGCCCAGGGCTCCTGGTGGCCAGAGAATCTGCAGGCCAGTGCCCGCTGCCTTAGACTTGCTAGGATGGCTTCCAGGGGCGCCCCCCCCCCCGCCCCTGCTTGCAGTCACTTGAGAGGGAGAGGGGGCCACACGCTCTTGGCCTGGAATCCTTGTCCCCAAATCCCAGACGCTGGGTGAGTGTGAGGCTGGCACTCCTGAGTGGTGAGGCAAAACCACTCTGCACATGCTCAAGGCATGCATCCAAGATCACATATCATGCTATGGAAAACCACCTGCAAATGATGATAGCTTTCCAGTGAAGAGCCATCATAGAATTGTAAAGTTGGAAGGCACCCAAAGGGTCGTCCATGCAATGCAGGAATCATCATCATCATCATCATAATTTATTTGTACCCCGCCCATCTGTCTGGGTTTCCCCAGCCACTCTGGGCGGCTTCCAACAAAGATTAAAAATACATTAAAATGTCACATGTTAAAAACTTCCCTGAACAGGGCTGCCTTCAGATGTCTTCTAAATGTCAGGTAGGTATTTATCTTTTTGACATCTGCTGGAAGGGTGTTCCACAGGGCGGGTGCCACTACCGAGAAGGCCCTCTGCCTGGTTCCCTGTAACTTGGCTTCTTGCAGCGAGGGAACCGCCAGAAGGCCCTTGGAGCTGGACCTCAGCGTCCGGGCAGAACGATGGGGGTGGAGACGCTCCTTCAGGTATACTGGACCGAGGCCGAATAACAGCTAGCACCATTCTCGCCCTCCTGGGAGCCCCTGAGTGGGTGGGCCTGTGGCAGTGAAGTCACGGTGGTGGCAGAGACCCTTTTTCTGGAGGGGGTGAAGGTGTGGGAATGTTCAGGGAGGCAGGAGAGGATATATTGTTTAATTATATCCTTCCCAACTTGTGTTAACAAGTTCTACAACTTAGCAGAGTAACATTCCCCTTTTAAACTTACACAGTGGATAGGTCTTTGCCAGGCTTGCATAAGCCTCTAAAATAAGTTTCCTGGTAATTCCCCTTTTATTCCCACTTAAAAAGAATAGACACGACACAGTCTTGTATAAAAGTATATAAATTAGTTTACTCACATTCTGTTCACAGAAGGATCCCAGAAGGCAGACTTAGGTTACAAAATATATACACGTGGAATCTATCCCATAAGGAGATACCGTAGTTTCTTTGTCCTTTCTTGGCTGAGCATCTCAGGCTAAGGAGATGTTGCTATTTCAAGGAATGGAGTCAGAGAGAGAGATGGCTGCCTCCCCTGTGCTATTTTGTTACCTGCACAGGTGAGGTCACACCCACCTCTGGTCACATGTAGAGGAAGTTTGTCCCAGCCCAGGAGGAAACCGGAAGTTCTGACTGGCTGGTCCAGACATCCCCTTTTTATGTCCACTCTAGGAATGTTGTATTTGACTGCTCTGTGTTTCACACCCCACAGAAGGTGAGGCCTCTAGGCCAACTTCATGAAGCCCCTCCAGCTCCACCCCAGCTTGAAGGCACCTAGCCTCTCCTGCTCCTGGCCCCAATCCCACCCCTTCCACCACTTTCTCAGGCTATCCCCTTCCACACACCCCACCACAATCCCCGGCACAAGTTTGCTTGTTTAACCATTTAGGTAAAAAAAGTAAAGGACCCCTGGATGGTTAAGTCCAGTCGAAGGCAACTATGGGGTGTGGCCTTTATCTCGCTTTTCAGGCCGAGGGAGCCGGCGTTTGTCCACAGACAGCTTTCCGGGTCATGTGGCCAGCAGGACTAAACCGCTTTTGGCGCAACAGGACACCGTGATGTAACCAAATTGCCCAGAAATGCTGTTTACCTTCCCGCTGCAGTGGTACCTATTTATCTACTTGCACTAGTGTGCTTTCGAACTGCTAGGTTGGCAGAAGCTGGGACGGAGCAACGGGAGCTCACCTCCTCGCGCGGATTAGAACTGCTGACCTTCTGACCAGCAAGCCCAGCGCCACCCGCTCCCGTTTACACCTTGCCCGCCTTCCAGCTCCAACGTGGCATCCACACTTAGCCTAAAACTAAGGCTACAAATAATATCGCTTATATACAATTAAATCAAGAGCCATCGTTTAAAAACGGCCTGATCCAGGGGCCCCTCCTCGGCGTCTTGGTCTTCGCAAGGCGCTCCTCCGTTCACTTAAGTAGCTGCGGAGCCCAGCTAGTCCTCGCGCTCTTGACAACTGAGATTAGCACACGCGCACGCGCGCGCAGAAACACGCGCATCTAAAGGCCTGGGAGGGAGCTGCTCGCCCCACGAGCACATTCTTCTCCATCACTTAACTCAATTTCCCTGTCAACGCCCCAGATAAGCTGGGAGTGGGGGCGGGGGGGGGGGGAGGAAGATGCTGGAGGAGAGCGGGGCGGGGGGAGAGACGCAAGACCTGCTGAGAATGAGCTGGGGGCCTGCAAGGATCCCCCTCTGCAGCAATTTCCTGGTGCGTGTCACAGGGCATTATGCGAGACGGTGTGCAGGGCGGCGGGGGGGGGGGGCAGTGTCTGTACGAGGCATGGAGCGGGGAGGAACCAGGGAGGGCAGGAGGAGCATTTGTCTCTACTTGCAGGTTGAAGTGTCCCTGCGAACACGCCCCGAGTCCCTGTATAACGCTCCCTCACAGGCTGAGCCAGGGCAGCGAAGACGCCTCTTTCTTCCAGAGGTTGCGCCCCGCCTTAGTCTGCTGCAGAAAAAAAATGGGGGGGGCCGGGTCTTCATTATGGCATCAGGCTTTCATGCAATCGCGGGATTGTAGAGTTGGAAGGGTCCCAAACGGTCATCTAGTCCAACCCCCTGCAACGGAGGTTTTGTGTGCTTCAGACGCATCGGGTGGGGCCTTAAAAACTCCCCGCTGTGTTGTGGCCTCAGCTGTAGCGGCGAGACAGAAGCCGGAGGGAGGCGCGGACGCTTTGGAGGAAAGTGGCTTGTCTGTCGACTGAGGTCCTTTGTCTCAGCGAGACTTCCTGGTCAGAGCGCTGGGCTAAGACCGGAGGAATCGCAGCTCAAAAGCAGCCACGAAGCTCTGGGTGACCAAGAAACAGTCACTGTTTCTTAGCCTAATCTCCCTCACAGGGTTGTTGTAAGGAGAAAACAGAGGGAGGTGGGCAACACTGAGCTATTTGGACCACAGCTGAGAGCCCGTGTGGCATAATGGCTAGAGAGACTTTGGAGTCAGTCACCATCGCTTCGCCTAATCCCCCTCACAGGGTTGTCGTGAGGAAAAGAACCATGGAACCACCCTGAGCTCCTTGGAATTTAGAGGTGTATATAAATGTAGTAAGTACATAAATAAAATAATAACAACAATAGTCTGGGAGAACTGTGGATCTGGCCCTGTGATGGGTGCCAGACGACGCCCGTTCCTCACTCGTAAGAAGTCGATCTCTTAGTGTGGCAGCGCCTGTCCTCTGGAACTCCCTGCCGATTGACAGCAGGTGGGCTCCTTCCCTGCGCTCTTTTCTGCGCCTGCTAAACGCACCCTTGCTTAGACAAACCTACTCAGGTAAAATGTTGGTGTTTGTTTTCTTCTGATTTTAGTTTATGGGTGGTTTTAATTTTTCGAATGTTGCTTATAACTGTTTTTATCGATAATTTTATATTTCGTTCTTTTTATAAACCATTTTGAGGCTTTTTACAATCAAGCAGAGTATAATTTTAAACAAACAAACAAACAAACCCGTTTCCTTTGCTGTAGGGCTATCAAAGAGGCAACCCCGGGCGAGCTGGACTTTCGCTGTGGCTTAGAAATCTTTCCTGGGCCTGCCTTTCCCAGAGCGCCTCCCCTGGGCTGTTCCCTGAGGAGTCCCGAGTCAAATCCTGCGCGCCACCCGCGTCCACAGCTCTCCTCCCGCAGAGGCGCCGAGGGAGGTTCGGGCGCTGGACTGGGAGGCGGCGACGGACGGATTGTCAGTGCTAAGGAGGGAGATAAGACGGCTAAGAGGAGCTCTGTGGAACCAGGGACAGAAGGGATCGGGGCCACCGGCAAACAGGCCTCGACTCACTGGGCAAGGGCCCCTCGCCAGCCTCCAAGGCCCCATTGCAGCAAACAGACGCGCGCCGTCGGAGAAATGATTTATCCGACGTGCGCCAGGCAGCCCTTCCAGGCCTCTGGTTTCGCTCGCGGATAAAAACTCTCTTAGTCCGCCTTGTCAACCAAGACGCTCCAGGCGCCAACATTTTAAAATCAGCAGCGTTAAAAACAGACAAACGAAAACTAAGGCGCTAAAGCAGAGAGGCGAACCCCTGAGTGGAATCCGGGAGATCAGCTTGCGCGTAAACCGCCAAAGGAGGGGATGGATTTGGTCGCGGCGCCCAGACGAGAAAGGCCCCGCTGCGCCCCGACATTCGCCGCCCTGCGGAAACGGCGAGAGGGTCAGAATGGCCAGGCATGTCCGACTGCAGCCGGGGAGGTGGGCGGGAGGGAGCCGGCGACTGCAGGCCCTGAGCAAGCAGCCAGCCCGGGAACGCCGCCTTTATCTCTCTCGCATTTCGTTGCAAACGTCCGCACGTCTTTTCGGCAACTGTAAAGTGGCGCACGGCTGGCGAGGGGAAGCGGGAGCGAGGGCGACTTGGAGACTTTGCGCTTTGGGTGGCTTTACCTTGGACTAGATCTTGGGGTGCGCCTGCTTTTCCCTGCCCCCTCCACCTTCAGAGAGGACAGGAGGCAGCGGGGGTGCTCCTGCGCGGTCTCCTGAGGCCACGGCGGATCTGTAGCCCCGGCGGCGGGCTCCCTCCTTCCTGGCTCCGCGTCAAAACTCCGCAGCCCGCGGGACTTTCGCACCTCCCTTCCTCGCCAGATGGAGCGCCTCTCTTCCCCAGTTTCGGGTCAGCGGCCTTCCACTCTCCTCGCTCCGCATCGGGATCTCCAGAAAGCTACTTCTGCGGCAACAGATGCAAATGAAAATAGCGTTTGCCTTTCAGAACTGATGCAGCGCATCTCTACGCCAGGAGCCGCCTCGCCTTCCGCGTTGTGTTAGCCGCTTGATGGGGCTTTGCTGGTTCTTCTGCATCCAGTGCGCTTCTGGCTGAAGATGCATTTTGCCGGTATTTTGACCGTCACCTACCCGCTCGGAGAAGTCTTGGGATCGGAGCCTTTGGCGCCCAGGAAAGATGCGCCTTCCACCTGCCGCCGGTCTCGCTCAGGGGACTCTCGGAAGGCAGGAGGAAGGAGCAGGCGAGGGAAGGCCCGGCGCGTTTTCACTCCTGCCGCTTAGCGCAGGTCTTGAGAGAGGGGTGAACTATGGAAAGGGAAAGCAAGTAAGAAAGGACGAAAGGGAGAAAGCGCGGCCGGCGGCGCTTGCCAGACTCCCGCGCGGCTTCGCTGAAATCCCGGAGCAAAGCGGAGCCGGTGAGGCAGACCCGCATAGAAGGAACCCGCGAGGGGCGGCGAGGGAGGCTCCCCTGGCGTGAGAGATGGGGGGGGTCCTCTCTTTCCATAGGCGCCTCCCGCCCCTATTGTCCAGAACCATAAGGGAGTTTCGCCGGTTGGGAAAGGAAGGCGAGTTCCTTTGGGATCGACTCCGGAATGGACGGAGGCCGGAATCTGGAGCGCCCCGCCCGGGAGACAATGCCCCGTCCTCCCGCTTACTCTTGCGGTGCTTTCACACCAAAGTTAGCCCCCTCCCCTGTTCCGATCCTAATGATTTTCATCCCCACCCTCCCAATTTCCATTTTTCAGGCTCCCCTCCCTCAGCAAAAGCAGATGAGGCGACGCGCTGGGGATTGTCCCGACATGAAAGTCACCATCTGGCGGAGCGCTCTCCCGATCCGCCGCCCCCCCCGCCCGCGCGGCTGTGGCCATGGCGGGCTCCATCCGCTCCTAATCGCTCGTGTAAACGGCCCATCTATCACGGCGAGCGGGGATTAAAGGCCCCCGAGCGGAGGGGCGCGCAGCCCGCCGGGCGCTGAGTGACAGCTGCGCTTAACCACTTCGGCTCCGGGATGGGCCAAAACTTTTAACAGGGCGGGGGGGGACTATAGAGGGGGGGCTCTAACGCAAGAAGCGAATTTATTCGGGGTGGAAGCCTTGGGATCCGCGGGAGGAGCTTCCTCACCTGCTGTAAGTGCTGGGCCTGATCCGAACCATGGGGGGGGGGATCTGTGGGCAGAGGAGCCCCCCACCACACTGCATTGCACCCCCCAATACCGAGGTGATTCTACGCGGGGAGCTCCTGCTTTCATTCTGGGGTTTTGGGGGTGCGTGGCTTTGCGCGCGACGGTTACAAAGAGGAACCTCTCCGCCGGCGGGCTTTCCTTGACGCTGCCTCAGTGATCTCCGAGAGACTGTTCTCCGACGTGAAATGACGCCGAAGGGTGGTTTGGGGCCTGGCCAAGCCTGGAGCCCGTCTCCAGGTTTCTTGGGGGGAAATGGGGAGTAGGAGACTGACTGGGTTCAGGCAAAAGGAGCGGAACCTCAGCCACAGACCATCTAGGCGCTCCGACAGCCCGGGCAGGATCGGGGCCGATTCCCCTTTGCAGGCTGGGCCGAGAAGAAAATGCAATCGGGAAAACAGAGGGGGATGTATTCGGGTTTCAGCTGACAATTTTATTTCTTTAATTAAAAAAAAGGTTTTCCGAACCCTTACAGCTCTAGAAAGAGCATACCGCATCCCCTTACCTGACAGATTCCTTCTAACTTTCCAAATATTTATCTTCTATAGGTTTCCTTTGTTCTGTGTTAACCTAAAACAAGCAAAAGATTACATAAGGGACCAGGAGACGATAGAGGGGTGGAAGGCGGCTCCGGGAAGGAGCAGACCCTGCTTGGGGCTCTCCTGGGCTGGCCCTGAGCAGCCACGACCCGGCCGCCAGCGCCTTTCTCCGGCCTGGGCAGGGCAGGACGCTGCCTGCGCCTCACACCTGCTGTTCCACCCGGCCGTCAGGATGCGGGTCGGGCAGCGGAGACCGCGGGACTGGGAAACAGGGCGTCGGAACCTCGTTCACAGGTCAGGCCCGCAGCTCCGCCGCCCGACACGCGAGGAGGCTGGGCCTTCAGTGCCTCCGCCGGCGAGGAGGGAGGCTCAGAGACCCTCGGGCCCCAGGCCTGTAAGCTGAACGTCTAGATGGTGTTCTTGCGGGGCGGCGATTATCATGCGAATAAGCATTCTGCCCCGCGGAGGTTATACCTTCCTGTTACAAACCCAGAGCCACTTTTATCCTCATGAATGTTGTGAAGGGAGTGGGAAACAAAAGGCGACTTCTGAATCTTGCGGGGTTTCTGGCTAACAGGCCTTTCAGGGTGATTGGAGGAGCAGGCAACGGGGCTGATGGCTCAGAGATGCCCGGGGGCAGCTGGCCACGTTCCCACAGCCAGAGAGGCCCCCCACAAGTGCTTTGCCGTGTCTCGTGTGAACGCACCCGCCCTTTCCCTCGTCTTTCATCCGGCCTCTTCTGGCCTTGGGTGTGGGCAGAGGCTACGGCTTGTAGGACGAACGACTCTCTTAGGACTTTCCCAGATATCGCGCGCCCACACCGAAGAAGATGCTATGGATTGGCTTGGGGCGAAGAAGGTGGTGGAAGTCGGTCGCAGGGAGGGTGCGGAAGGCGAGCGGAATGCGGACGGCCGTGGCTAGCGCTGCCGGCTTCTCCCGGGCCTTTCGCGCTTCCTCCGGAGGTGTGAGATGGCTCTGGGATATATTGATGTCCATGTTCCGTTTCTCTTCCGCCCATTGGCGAAGTCCTCCGGGCAGAGGTTGGGTGGCCATCTGTCCAGGATTCTTTAGTTGCGCTTCCTGGATTGCAAGGGGTTAGACTAGATGGCCCACGGAGGTCCCTTCCAACTCTCCAATTATATAATTGTGCGCCTACATTTGGGGTGTAGATGGGAGGGAAGGGATTTTCCTGCCCTCCCCCACCCCGTAACCTTCAGAGATACCGCCCCCATTCCCTCTTTTTCTGCTGCTTGCGCCGTGGGCTTTCCCGGGGGTCTTGTGCCTTCTTCCGGCCGAGTCCGACCGGCTACAGGGGGCCCTCGGTGCGCGTCCACCGGGAGCCCTTTGCGCGCAGGCGGACCCGAGGTTTGGACAGGACAGGCCTGGCCTCTCAGCAGCTGGCTGTGGAGGGGGACAGGCTGGGAGGGAGGGAAGGAGGGGGGGTTTACAAGCGTGCGGGATCATGGAGCTATTTGTATGAGGCTTTTACGGCCGGTCCGGGCAGTGAAACTCAAAACCTGCCCAAAGCCCCGCGCTGCGGGCCTTAATCACTCCCAGACGCGGCGCTTTTATGGGCCATTTAGAACTGGGGAGGCTATAAAACTCCAGGCAGTCGAGGGGGGGTTAGAATAGTCGGGGTGCATCCTGGAGGGGAGTGGGGAACCCCATGGAGGCCCCTCTCTCCGGAGAGGCCGGGCTAGCCGTCGGGGGGAGGTCGGGGCCGCCCAGCCTGTCTACAGACTCCCCTCCCCAGCAGGCGGCCCGCGGGGGGCTTTGAAATGCTCTTTACAGCGCTTGGGGGGGGGAGCCGCTTTTTATGGCTCCCTTTACGGGGATGTTGCACGTCTGCCTTGCATTAGCGGCGGGGGTGGCGAAGGGGCCTAGCGGAGCGCCCAGCTGGGCCGCAGGCGGCGAGGCAAGCAGCCGGAGGGCCCGATCCACCAGAGACCCTGGGACGCCGCCGAAGCCGCCCTGCACCTCCGGCGGGGCAGCGAGTCGGCTCGCTCGCAAGAGCGCAGGGGAAGAACCGGAGGGTGGAGGGCCGGAAAGGGGGAAGAAGACCCTAAGGTGGCCTCGATGGGTGGGGAAGGAGGGCCCGGAGGGCACACAGGGAGACGCGAGGGGCAAACCTGGAGCGGAGGCAGCGGCTCCTCGGGGCAGCGTCTCGGATCCTACGGGCCACGCACGTCAAGGACGCCCGCTGAACAAGCCGGAGCCGGCGCTGAGGGAGAGGGAAACCTGAGGGTGCCCAAGATAATAATAGCAGTAATAGCACGAATAATAGTACTACTACGAAGAGTACTACTGATAGTACTACTACCAATAGTAACAACAGTAACAATAGTCATAGTGATAATAACAAAGCACATCTTCAACAGCGGCAGCAGCAACAAAATTCCGTGCGTCCGCGAAGGAGAGCGTGGAGCGGCTCTCGCGGGGTGCGAAGCCTGCCTTTCTCTTCCTTCCTTTCCCTTCCACCAAGCGGAGGAAAACCCCTCCGTGGCTCTGTCGGCTCCGGAGGAAGAGAAACCTCTCCCCGAAGTCCCCGCGGGGCTATTTCGGGGCCGCCAAGCTGGTGAAGGCGCTGCAATTGTGCGTAATTGCGCGGCGAGGTAAAACCAGAGTCCCGAGAACAATAAGCGAGGCTGCCACAAACCCCCGAGGGGCATTTAGCTGGAGGGTCGCCGCCGCCCGAAGGAGAAGCAGCCGGAGGGCCCCGGAAGAACCCGGCGCTTCTCCTGCTCGGAAGAATCCTTGCCACAGAAGGGCGACTGGCGATTAGGAACTGCACTCAAGGGAGGGTGACTATCTCTCCAGAGGGGAAGGCCGCAAAGGGCGCCCCACATGCTGGTCAAGGAAGGCTCCCTCCTCCAAAGCAGACCCGATCCAGGCGGCTCCATAAAGCTCCTGGAGAGAGGCGGGGGGGGGGGCGAAGAGACAATGCCAAAACTCGGGGGGCTCCTTGAGCAGAGACATTTGCGGCAGCTTAAGACAATTGCCAGAGATGAGCCCCGAAGGGGGAGGCAGGGTCCTCTATCGCCCACCCCAGCTGCCCTTCTTGTATCTACAGCCAGTTTAGCAGGGGGCGGTGGAAGGGTCTGGAAGGAGCGGGGACCACCGCGGAGCACACATACCGGGAGCTGGAGAGGCGAGGCCCAGCGTGATAAGCCGAGAAGGGGCCAGCCCAGAAGGCGCTGCTTCCCAGCCCAAGCTGTCCTCGGCTTGGGGAGCCGGAGAAGCTGTCGGGTCAGGGCCCTGGCACAGGCCTAGCCGCTCCCGCGACGCCTCTTTGCTCCCGGGATCGGGGCCGCCAGCTCAGCGGTGGAGCCGAGGGAGCCCCCAGGCAGGCCTGCGAGCAAAGGCAGAGCCGCCGGGCGGTGGCCGCTTCTGCGAGGCGGCCGGAGAAGCGGGGACCCCCTCCCCTCCCCGCGTCCCCCCCACTCGCTCCCCCCTCTGAAACTTTGCTAACACTTCCGCGCTGGCTCCTCCTACCCGGGTGCCCAATTGATGGCCCTGCCTGTGCGTCTTTAAGGCTGGAGCGCCCGGGCGGACTTGGCTAGGACTGAACGGGCTCACCGGCGGCCAGAGGCAAGGAAGACCCGACGGGACGCCCCCTCCCCAAGCCGCGCCGGGCGAGGCCAGGCAGGGGGATGGGCCGGGGGGGCCCTTGTGCGGCGCCGCTCTACTCTTAGGCCCGGATCCAGCGGGCAGCGCGGCGGGGGGGGGGGGGAGAGAAGAGGAGCTTCCGCGCTCAAAGCTGGAGGGGGCGGCTCAGAGCGGCTGGCGCGCAGAGATAACAACGCCGGGGGATCTGCAGCAGCAGCAGCACCATGACCCCAAGGGGGTGCTGAGCCCCATCCCTGCTCCAGGAGAAGCTGGGGGGCTCCCTCCCCCTCCCTCCCGCCTCCCTCCCGCGGGCCATGACCTCCGCTAAGGAAGGGAAGGCGGCCCCCGCGCTGCCTCAGCCGGCCACCGAGGAGCGGCGCCGGAGCCCGCTGGACCAGCTGCCGCCGCCCGCCAACTCCAACAAGCCGCTGACCCCCTTCAGCATCGAGGACATCCTCAGCAAGCCCTCGGCGCGCAAAGCCCCCGCCGCCCGCCTGCTGGACAAGGTCGCCGGCTCGGCCGGACCTCCCCGCAACGGCGTGCCCGCGCCCGCCTCTCCGCTCTGCGCCCTCGAGGAGCTGGCCAGCAAGACCTTCAAGGGGCTCGAGGTGAACGTGCTTCAGGCGGCCGAAGGTAAGGGTTCGGCGCGGGGCGAGCAGAATTGGTGGTGGGGCGGCGGAGGGCCGCGCTTGCCTCTTCCGCTCCGAGGGGTGACCTCCTCGGGGGCTCTCGGCCACGGGGCTTGGGCAGGCTCGGTAACGAGGCGGCACCCGGGGGCCACCTTCCCACAAACGCTGCTGCGAAGCCAAGGAAGCGGCAGCCCTTTCCCTGTCCGGAGATTTCTCGGGCAAAGCGAAGGGCGAGGCTCGGACCCTCCTCAGCGGTTTGGGAAGCCCAGGAGCCGCCTCCGGGGCTGGCGGGTGTCCCGAGGAGCGGGGAGAAAAGCGCGGAGCTCCCGGAGGCGAGGAAGAGACTCATCCGCCGCTTTCCTTCGGAAGTCCTGATGCGGAGGTCTAGCGGCGTCGGAGGCGAAGGGCTGGTTCGCCCAGCCCTCTTTCCACAGGGTCCCCCCAACGCCAACGCCGCTTCCTCCCCTTTGGCCTTTCTAAACATTTTTTTCCTGCCCCGCAAGAATCCGCAGCCGGTTAAGTCAATATTATGTCAGCGGCCTGGATTTGTTTATCTGTCCCGCCGGCTCCACTTGACGGGCAGAGTCAGTCCAGACCGCGAACCGACACACAAACCGCCTGCGCTCCGAGGACAGCAAATGGCTGCCGCGTTGGGTCTTTCAAAACTAGACCGTTTTCTCTCTTTCGGTCCCGCCCGACGAAAAGAAAAATGCCACCGGCCTAAACGGCGCGAATTCGTTTCTGGCGGGTGCTAAAGTTCGTGGCGGCGGCTGGGTTCGTTTACCGCGCGCGATCATTTCTCCTTGCTGGGTTTCACACGACTGCGATTTAATTCTGCCTTCTGCTTCTGTAAAGTGACCCCCCCTCCCGCCCCTGCCACACACCGAGAGACACTCTCGATTCAAATTAGCCGAAGGATGAACGCCGAAAAACGGCCCCGAATCGCGTTAAACCACAAAGGGCAACGCGCTAGTTTGTTCGGGGCCGTTTGCTCCGATGTCCAGGAGAGAAATCTTGGAGTCGAGCCGGTTGGAGAACGGCCCTGCCCGGACCCCCATCCCACAAAAAAACCCCGCCATTTAACATCCGGTTCCTCAAAGGATTTCACCACCCCTCTTTTTAAAAAATGTTACTGAGAGTGAGAGACAACATTTCGCCTCCACTTTTCCGGGGAGTTGGACCTTCCAGTTGCCGCCGCGGCTAGAAACCTTTTAGGCCGAGCAAACAATTTTCCGCCGGAGCCCCGAATTCAGAAAGGTTGTTCCTGGCTGAGCCACGCTTCGGAATAGTCAGCCCCCCAATTGTTCCCCGGGCAAAAAGCGAGTGAAGGCCCCGGACCCTCCTTCTCAACGCTTCTCAAAGGTACCCAAAGAGCCACGTGGAAAGGCGCAATCGGACATTATGTAATTAGTTCAAATTAATTATATTAAATCATATTCTTTATATTTTACAATTTCCCGTATTTCTTGGGTGGATGTTCCTCGCCAGTCTTTCAGCTTAAATTGCTTGCAATTCCCCAAAACCATATTTCAACTTAATATAAATATGAGGGACCATGTTTCAGACGCCTCTCTTCCCCGCGCCAAAATGGGTAATATTTGTGTTCCTCTTTTCCCAAAGAACCCGGGAAACTCTCTTTTTTTCCTGCGTTGTGAAATTAGCCGGGCCTCACCAGGGCCCGTTCGGCGCCCTTCGGGCAAAATTCTGACTAGCCAAGGGCGAGGGAGGCGGCGGGTGTTTTTCTTCTAATCGTGAAACAACAGAGCTTAGGAAAGCGTCATTTGTGAATGGTGGGGTGGAAAATGGGACAGAAAGAGAATTTAAAGCCATTTCAAATCCAGGCTTGTTGCTCTTTTTTTTTCAGGGCGCTTTCAAACTTTCAGTTTAATACGTTTTTGCATTTTCCCCAGCTGAAGTGCAAATTATGCGTCGGAACAGAATCTCAATAAATTAAATTGAAATTAAATTCCGGCGCATGGAAATGGGTTTTAGTTTCTCTTTCTGTCCCACTTTCCACCCCACCATTCACATGTGACACAAGTGGCGCCTTCCCTGTGGAACACCCTCCCACCAGATGTCAAAGAGAACAACAACTACCAGGCTTTTAGAAGACATCTGAAGGCAGCCCTGTTTAGGGAAGCTTTTAATGTTTGATGTATTTTAATATTCTTTTGGAAGCCGCCCAGAGTGGCTGGGGAAGCCCAGCCAGATGGGCGGGGTATAAATAATAAATTATTATTATTATTATTTTCTAAGGTATTCGCAGGACGCTCAAACAGTTCACGTGTACAAATTCGGATTTCAGACCTGGGAAAGGGAAAATTGATCAGCCTTTGCGAAAATAGCCGACAGAGGAAAGCAGGATTTGAGCGCGCAATTAGTGTAAAGGGGACATTAGTTTGGATGAGCCCATCCTGAAGAGAAGGGCCTGATCCTGTGGATTCACCCAAACGGATTAATTCTGCGAGAGGTAATAGGGCTTCCTGGAGGGGTCCGGCTTCTCCGCTGTGGGCCGAATCGTTTTAATTCTAGACGAGGCCCTCGCGCGGGCTCAACCGCAGCCTGGTCTCGGGCAGGTCCCTGGTCTCCTCCCTCCCCCGGCCTTAAGGTCCTCGTCCGGGACTAGAGGAGAGGAAGACCTCTTGTCCTTCGGCGGCGATCAGGGGGGCCAGAGGGTTGCCCCGCCAGCAGCCGAGGTCAAGGGTCCCGCACTTCAGAACAGCCATTTGGTTTCATTACTGCCTCTTGCGCGCCTTTCTCAGAGGTGGAAAGGAGAAAGGGGAAAATAGAAGGAGGAGACTTTCGCTCTCCTTTCCCATCACACAGTCAGAAAGTATCACTGCTATGCGGTTGTTATTATTATTATTACTATTATTATTACTATTATTACTATTACTATTATTACTATTATTATTACTATTATTTATTATGTTGTTATTATTATCCCCACCCTCACTTCGGGATAAAAGTGTAGCAATTATTCCTCGATCTGGAATTTTGTTCCAAATTTTAGTTTGGTGCCAAACATCAATCTCTCTCTCTCTCTCTCTCTCTCTCTGCCCCCACGCCAGCCCAGTTCTTTGGGACAAAGGTCGGCGCCTTGACCGCCTTTGCTTCGTTGTGCGAGCAAATGGCCGGGGCTTCCCAGAGTCTGGTTTTCAACAAAATGTTATCAACGCCTTTGAACAAGGGCGGCCGCCCAGCACAGTCCCTCTTTGTGCTCCTTCACTCGCCCTTCCATCCCCACGAGAACTGGGTCCGCCTGACTGAATGGGGAGAGAGGGGAGGCCGTCGGTTTTCCAAGATGCTCCGCGTCCCGCTAGCACCCTGGGCTTCCCGCTCCGCGCTTCAGCCTCGGGGCGGGGAGGTTAAGCTAGAAGTCGCCCATCGTTCTCCGGGCGCCCCCACCGCACTCGCTGGGTTTCGGTTACCGTCGGGTCTCGCCCTGCGGCCAGCATCACGCTTTCCTGCGCCCAAGGGGAAGAGGTCCCTCCCGGCCCCAGCAGAAGGGATAGCGAGAGGCCTTGCCAGGCCTCCAGGCAGAGGAAGCGGAGACTCCCGCCGCCCCTTCCAGCCCTGGTGGGGTCCCCCCGACGGCTCTGGAGTCCCCCCGACGGCTGCAGGTTCTTTGGCGACTCCAGACTGGGCAGGGCAGGTGCGGGATGGGGGGCGCTGGCCCTTATGCCCGGCGGGGGCGGCTGACCGCGAATCCTTCTCATCTGCCTTCCTCTGCAGGCCGGGACCCGCTGGGCGCCTTCGGGCCGCGGCAGCAGTCGAAGAAGCGTCGGAAGTCGCGCACGGCCTTCACCAACCACCAGATCTACGAGCTGGAGAAGCGCTTCCTCTACCAGAAGTACCTGTCGCCCGCCGACCGGGACCACATCGCGGCGCAGCTGGGCCTCAGCAACGCGCAGGTCATCACCTGGTTCCAGAACCGGCGCGCCAAGCTGAAGCGGGACTTGGAGGAGATGAAGGCCGACGTCGAGTCGCTCAAGAAGCTGCCCCCGGCCGCCCTGGAGAAGCTGGCCAGCATGCCCGAGCTGGAGCCCCAGCCCCAGCCTGCCCGGGCCCGCGGGGGCAGCCTGCCCCGCGCCTCGCCCCCGTCTTCGCCCGGCGCCTCGCTCCGCGCCACGGACCCCTTCTCCGACGGCGAGGACGACGACGACGAGGAGGGCGAGGACGAGGACGAGGAGATCGACGTGGGGGACTGAGAGCCTCGCGCGGGGCCAGCCCGCTCCCCCAGCATCGAACCAAGGGACGGGGGGGTTGAACCGTTGGACCCCTTACCTCCCTCTCTTTCTCCCGCCTCACCGCCAGCAAAGGGGCTTGAGACGGCGCCCCAGCCCAAGAACAGAGAGGTCCCACTTTCGACGTCCTGCGTCCCAATGCCCTGACGCCCCAGGATTCCATGCACCCCGCTTTCCCTCCATCTTTATCCACCCGCCCCGTCCATTCACCCCTTCTCCCGTCCCCGCCCTGCATGTCGTCCATGCGTTGCCTGCACCTCAGACCCACCCCCGTTATTCTGACCCCAGCTGACCCCAACCCGTCCTCCTCATTCGGTCACTGGCGTGGAAGATTTGGTGCAATTTCTTTTTCTAAAAAAATCAATTAATTTTATTATTATCATTATTTTTCAATCGTGGTTTGGTCCCTGCTGTGATCTCGATTCCTCCCCCCCCCCCGCCCCGTCCCCGTGTCCTTGCTGTTTGCCTTTCCTCCATGAGTCCAGACTGGGACACCCACCCGGAGGAAACAGGGGACTGTGGTAGTGGGGGGGGGGGTCTTATGGGAAGGCCGCATTTAGCACATTCCAAAAGGGGCCCCCGACGGCTGGGCCTGGAGCTCTGGCGACTCCGCGAGGAACCACCCCTCTAGGGAAGGGGGGGCTGCCTTCCCTCCCAATTTGGGGTGGTTGGTGGCAGCTCCCCCAGCCTTTCGCGCACCCCCACCCCACCCTCAGTTTCCCGGTTCTCTCGGTCGTGTGTGCGTGTATATATTTTGAATAAAAGGACACACCAGACGACGCTGCCAGGTTCCAGCTTACGAAGAACTGGGGCGGGTGGGGGGCACTGGGGGGGGGGGTCCGGGCGGAGAGGGAGCCGGGAGCCTGAGACACAAACTTTCAAGGGAAAGACCGACTGAGGAACCGGGCAGTCCCGGAGCCAGGAAGGCGCGGCCGGAAGGTGGGCGAGGGCGGCGTCGCATGAGAAAACGGAGCGTCTCCCCTCACCATCAACCCTCGACGGATCTCCTGCGGAGAAGACGCTCCCACGAGTGGAGGGGAGTCGCCTCAGAGACCCCCCCCCCAGAAGTCTGTCTCAAGCACAAAAAGAGGGGCTGGGGACGGGGCCCCCGCAGGGGACTTGCCGCTAAATCCAGGGGCTTCGGGGTTTATTTGGTTTTGGTTGGAACAGCTGGGGTGGTGGTTACACAGCCCTGTAATTGTCAATTTGGGAGGGGTTCCAGAGGGGCATCCAGTCCACCCCCCCGTAAGGCAGAAACAGCAGCTATAGCATCCCTGACAGACGGCCGTCCAACCGAGGAGAGTCCGCCACCTTTTTCCACTGACCTTGGGTCAGGGGTGTTTTCAACCGGGAATAACTTGTGTGAGTCGGAGGCGGGACGGGGGGGGGGGGGCAGAAAGGCGGCGCAAAATGTTCCGAACTAAAAAGAAGACCGCTAGGATCGGCCTGCGCCGAACGGAAGGCTTATATGCGACGTCGCCAAGCGCGCCTGCCCATGTGCAGAGAGCAGTCCCTGCTCCGCTCGCTTCCAGAAAAATCCGGCATCCTTCCCAAGCGTCAACCGACGGCAGAGCCCGACCCCCCCATCTCCCCCCCTCCACCTCTTTCCCCCTTTTCTTCCTAATGTCTCAACAAATGAAATTGATTTGTAAAAATGTTACAGGGGGGGCGGACACGAGAGAGACATTGCACACTATTGTAAATCAACAAAATCTTTAATAAAACAAAAAACCGACGGCAGAGGGAGGGCCGTTTTCTGAGCAGCTGCCGGGCGGGGGGGGGTTGCCCCTCCCCCACCGGCCATCCATCTCCACCCCCCACCGCCGCCCCCTCTCCGCCACGCCGTGTCTGCGCCCCGTACGATTCAATTAGGCGCTGGGAGCCGGCCCTGCCATCTGGTTTGTGAATTCGCCCTGCTGATGGATTGGAGCCCCGCCTGTCGAGGGGAGGCCAGGCAAGCAGAGCAATTGATTAACGGTGGGGGGGGGGTTGCCGATGATGAACCCCCCACCCCCGGCCTTTTGGAGAGGAATGGGTCGCACTTCAAGGCCGGGGGATTCGTTCCGGAGGGGGGGGGACGTCGAGGGGAGACCCCGGCCCAGCCGCCCCCTCCTTCCCTAGCGCCTTTTATGAGCGGGACGTGCCTCGGCCACCGCGGGAGGGGAGGGGGTGGCGGGAGGAAGACCCGCCTCCGCGGGGGAGGGGCGCCCCGTCGGGGCAGACCCCTCCCCCTTCTCCCTCTACACGTGTCCAGTTGCTCTGCACATGCGAAAGGTCCTTCTCCTCGGAAGGGCACCTTGGCTTTGGGGGTGGGGGTGGGGAGCCGCTTTGGGAGGCGGCGGCGAAGAAAGAGAGTGCCGTCGAACAAGGTCGCCGTCTGTAAGGTGCGAAACCCAGTGGGAACACGGAGGGAAGCCCAGATCCCAAGGCAAGGTTGGGTTGGGGGCGAAGGGGGAGCCCTCGAGGTCCCCATCCCCGGGAGGGGGCAGAAACAGACCCTTGGAGGGGGTGGGTGGGCTTACCCCCTTCCGTGGGGCGGGTGGTGCACAGAGACAGAGAGAGCGCTCTAGCAGGAAAGCGTCACGTGTGGACCCACGCACCCGTGATGCGGCCGCCGCCATCGGGAGAAGAAGCCCAGCTCTGCTTTCCTCGAGGAGCTTTTGCGGCCGGACCAGAAGGGGTTAAGGCCCTCCGAGTTGTCCGTGGCTAGAGAGGGCGCGTCCACGCCACGCCTCCGGGAAGGGAGGAAGTGACGTTGTTGGGGTTCCGGGAGGAAGTTGCCTCCGCTCGCCGCCGCCGCCCAGAGAGGCTTCCCGGGAGGAGAGGCGCTTCCTTTACGGGCTCGCTCAATGTAAATTATTATTATTATTATTATTAATTTAGTTATAATATATATCATAATATATAATATTATCTATTATAATAATAAATATATTATATTATAATAAGCTTATTATTATTAGCTTAGAGAGGCGAGGTCTTTTTCTTCTGGGCCATTTTTGCGGTTTTCGACTTTTCTTTTGCATTTTGAGGCTCCTGGGATTCTTTCCTCCTGGCACTTGGGAGTTTGCTTTTGAGATTCAAAGTCGTCCTTTTGAATTTCCGGATTCAGGTAGGTAGTCGTGTTGGTCTGAGTAGTCCAAATAAATTGAAATTTATTTATTTTTAATGGTCCAGTGGTGCCTTAGAGACCAACTCCGTTTGTTCTGGCCTCAGCTTTTGTGTGCCTGCACACCTCTTCCGATACAGGGAAACAGAAGTCCCCCGGCCCTGAGATATAGGTCAACCTGTCTGTTAACGACACCAATTAGTCCTACAGGAAAAAGCAAGGGAGAGTGTGCAGAGGACCAAAAATAGCTTTTGCATGTGTAATGAGACAAGAATCCACTATCTCTGTTCAGACCAGGTCTCTCCATAGTTTTCAGTTTAGTAATAAGTTTTAATTCAGCAGCTTCTCTTTCAAGTCTATTTCTGAAATTCTTTTGTAATAAGACAACTGCTTTGAGATCCTGTATTGAATCTCCTGGGAGATGGAAGTGTTCTCCTACTGGTTTCTCTGTCTTGCGATTCCTGATGTCACATTTTTTGAATTTCCAGTTATTTTCCCGTTTGTATTTTTTGGAGCATTTTCTTTCCTTTCTTGATTTTAAAATGGATAGCAAGAATGCTGTTGTTGAGGAAAGCCCCCAATTAAGCAAGCTTTTCAGAATAATTTCATTCAGTGGCGGGGACATTTAGAAGGAATTCTAAAGTGTATTGAACAAGAAGAAATGGGCGAAGCCGGGTCTGTTATGCAGGACAGTGTTTCAGACAAAGAAAGGGGAAACAGCTGCTCCAATGCTTCAGAGTTTGCAAAAGGCTTTAGATTTGCTCCGGTGGGCAAATAAGTGAAAGCTGCAAGAGATTTTGACTAACTTTTTTGTGGCATTAAGGATCTTTTTAACTATCGCTGTTTCAGCTGCCAGTTGTGAAAGAAGTTTCTCAAAACTTAAATCAATTGAAACGTATCAGAGATCTACAGTGAGCCAAGAAGCCAAGAGCCAATGAGTAACCTAGCGATACTGTCAATTGAGATATTTCAATGTAAATTTTGATACTGTTACTGAAAAATGCGCACAAATTAACACCAGGCTATTTTAAATAAATTTGAGTATGCTTTCATTAAATGCATTTTTAATTTCATCAGTGTGTTCTTAAAAAATACAATACATGTGCTTGGGGGGTTAATGGGTTCAATAATGGACTGGTGGAAGCGACTTGGAGAGTGTTAGCAGTCCACGGATTAGGGGGTGCAATACTTGCTTTGCCACGGATGCTGGCAACCCATGCTATGCCCCGGCTGTGCTGCCAAGTGCTGGTGCAACCCCCCCCCCATTCAACTCCCTCTGCCTCCCCTGTCAGAGGACGGGCTGAGCAAGGTCAGCCTTCCTCTGTAGGAAGGAGAGACCTACAACAAGAGAGAGAGTTGATTTGGGCCTAAATAGGAGCAAGGAGAGGAGAAGGGTGGAAGTCCAGGCCTGTAAGGTGCAGGGGGCGGGGGCTGAACAGTGATTGTCACTTTCTCTTTCCTCTCCCTCCTTTGTTCTGCAGCACAGCGGGGAGGAGGGCATCAGCAGAAATGAAATTTATCCCTGAAGGTGCCTTTGAGTCTCTCTGCAGGGAATAGCTTTTAATTTGACAGTTATGAGACACATGCAGCAGGCAGTTGAGGGGGGAAGGGAGGAAGCCTAGCGTGAAAAGTCGCCCCACGCCACCAGTCTGCCCCAAGGGATGTCCTGGAACAATCCCTCTCTCTCTGCACAAGAACTTGGAATAATAGAATCTTTTGAGTGGGAAGGGAACCAAAGGTCATCCAGTCCAACCCCCTGTAATGCAGGAAGCTCAACTAGAGCATCCTTGACAGACGACCACACAACCTCTGCTTGAAAACCTCCAAGGAAGGAGAGTCCACCACCTCTCTTGGGAGTCTGTCCCACTGTCTAACAGCTCTTACTGTCATGAAGTTTTTCCATGTTTAGTCAGGGAGAAGAGTGCCACCTCTTGGGGGCTGGTTTGGAGCCCTGGCAGAGAAAGCGCCCGGTCTGGAACCTGAAACTTCGGCCTTGGGTCCTTTGCACCCTGATTCAGGTTTGGGTGTGTTGGGGTGAGGGGCAATCGGAAGCACAGAATTGTAGCATTGGAAGAAACCCCAAGAGTCATCCCGTTGGGGGTGCAGGGCAGCTGGGCACCTTCACCCTCCGACCCCCAGCCTTCACTACAAGATTAGTGTAGCTCAGAGAAGGTAGGAGCTGGGTTCTTGGCCCGGACCCAGCTCTCAGCTACAGCCGCCTAGACGGCAGCTACCTTCCTGTCAGAGAGGAGGGGACACAGCACTTATGAAAGGGCCCCTGGGCCTCCACCACCAGTGTCCTCATTCTTGCCCCTGTTGGAGGAAGCAGATGCCTCTGGGCAGGCACTGGCTCCATCTTTGCTTCTGGGGAGGGGTCCCGAAGAAAGACTTGACGGGACATGCCAGCGCTGAGCGCTCCCCCAGGCCACAGCGAGGTCAGGGTGCGTTTGGGGAAGCTGGAGGTGAGAGCAGGGCCGTCTTAACCTGGGGGTGCTAGGGGTGCAGGCCACCCGAGTGCCAGGCTCTCGGGCCAAGAGTTGGAGTCCGGGGGAGAGCAGAGCAGAGCCCATGGGAGCGCCATGGGCTCTTCTGCTGCAGGCGGCTCTGCGCAAGTTCAGGGGTGAGTGAGGTGCTGAGGCGGCTGGCTGGCTCCACCTTCATGCGCGCCTGGGATTGGCGTAGGGCCGTGGCGAGGCCCGCCCAGTGCATGCTGCTCACACCACGAGGTGCCCAGCTTCGCTCAGTTGCCGATGCCTCGGGCTCGTTTGTTGCACTGGGCTCTGCTTGCGTTGGTTGCATGCTGCCCACCCCCAGGCGCCCGACCTGGCCTTTCTCAGCCACTGACGCCTTGGGCTCCTCTGTTTTGCAGGGCTCTGCCTCTGCGCGCCGGAGTCCAGGGCCGAGTGAGGCGCTGAGGTGGACAGCCAGCTCTGCCCTGCCTGCGCGGCTCAATGGCCTGCCCAGAGCACACTGCCCACCTGACAAGGCACGTGGTGCTACCGTTCTCATTTACGAGACTTCCTGGACCATGACAGTGCCTACTAGCTAGCATACACACACAGTGAGTGGGCAGGTAAGAAATGAGTAATTTCTGTAGATAATATATATTAAGGGAAAATATATAGAAACAGTAATATTCCATTAATAATAAATCAGCATTGAATTTATTAATAAGGAAAAGATATGAAAGGGACGGGAAGTCTAATGTTCATGAAGAAACTTACTGTTTGGAAGTTGTTATATTCTTTATGTGTTTTATGATGTTTTTGATTTGATGATAATAAGATGGTGTTGTAAAGATGTGATATTGAACAGTAAAGCATAAAAAAAGAAATCAGAATCAGACATTGAAATTGGAAATTGAAATTAGTGATTGTGTGATTGAGTATTATTGGGTGGCTGCAACTCTTCTGCGTGGACTCTGGCAAGATTCCACCTTGAACTCTTTACTGTTCAGTGTTTCTGAGTAGTCACTGAGAGAGATCCATTGATTATTTGCAGTGCAGTGAGAAGAGAGACTGCAGGGGACCACAGCTGCAGGACTTCTTTCCAGAGCGGAAGGTTTTTTGTTCTGGTGGCTCGGTTGGAGGTGAATTTCCAGTGAAACCTCTTTATCTGCCCTGTGTGCCTCGACTGCATGGCCAGTGCGTGCTGCCCCCCCCCCCAGGTGCCCGGCCTCACTCAGCCGCCCCTGCCGCGGGCTCTTCTGCTGTGCCGGGTTCTGCACACCCGAGTCCAGGACCGAGAGTTGACAGGGCGGACGGGGAGGAGCCAAGCTGAGTCTGTCCGAACGGGGACGTAGGCGAGGCACGAGCCTTGGCCAATATTTATTTATTCACGCACCAACTTCATGTTTATCTGCTTTTTACTTCATTTTTGCAGATGGCTGATGGTAAAAAGAAATTTTCAGAAAACTCGAGAAAGAAAATCTAAAGAAGATGACGTCTCCAATTGGAACTTTTTTCCGACCTAGTAAGTGAGCTACTTACTTTCTCCACGTATCTCATTTGCTCACATTTATTATTAAGTGTTTATATTTTGACCGAGAGGATTTATGCAAATCTCGAAAATAAATAGGTGTAAGTATTAAATGGCAAGTTTCCAGATTGCTTTTATGGGTGGATTTTAGGCAGTTATTGGCATTGCAGCCCGTTTAGAGCAATTGCCGTGTGACATACATGGCACAACAGCCAACCTTAAATTATTGCTTCTCCCCAGTTTGGCTTTGTACCTACAAAGGGCTTGTGAGGTCTACTGCTCCAAGAGCCACTATTGTAAATTATGTGTATTAACCTATGTTATTTCTGTTTTAACAGGTACATCTTCTGCAACCAGGGACGTAGAAGAAATACCTTCCAGAGATTTAGAACTTACTGCGCCTGTTGCAGAAGCCTCGACTCATAGCACACCTGCACTTGCAACCGAATCTCCCTTGATGTCTGTTATTCCCCTGGAAGCGTTGTTTCATGAAGATGCAATGGGTGATCCTTCTTTGTGGCCTCAAATAGTCCCGGAGAAGTTAAGATTGTTTTTAATAGATCAAGGGCCAGTTCAGATAAAAAAGTCAGCTTATCCTACAGATAGTAATTATAGGGCATTTTCAGACACTTGTTACACAACAAAAGCTAAAGAACAATGAAACCGTTACTAGAGACTGGCTTTTGTACTCCAGATCTAGTGATTCTGTATTCTGCTTTTATTGTCAACTTTTCAACGATGATGTCACTGATTTTAATGGTGAGCCAGGTTTCCAAGACAAGGCATTTATCTGGAAACAAAAACACATGAAAAGAGTGCAGGTCATCTCTTGTCCATAAAAAAACCCCTAGATCTGAAAAACAACATATTGAAAGGGAAATCTGCAGAGTCCGTAAATCAAGCCAAAATCGAAGGTGAGAAAAAATGGTGGGTGGCTGGGTCAAAATTTAGCATTGAGAGGAAATAATCAAAATTTGTTCTAGTTTTGATAATATATTAGCAGAACATATTAATTGTATTCAAAATGCTGACGCCACATGCCTCATTATCTTGGCCCTAACATTCAAAACAAATTGATCAATATAATAATAATAACAATAAATTTTATTTATACCCTGCCCTCCCTGGCCAGAGCCGGGCTCAGGGCGGATAATACCAATAAAATTTCAGTAAAAACATAATAAGAAAAAAATAAAAAGAAAAAAACAATTTAAAATACAGGTTAAAATGCAATTTAAAATGAAGCCTCATTTTAAAAGTTAAAACCATAAGGGGAGGGAAACATAAGGGTCAGACTGAGTCCAAACCAAAGGCCGGGCGGAACAGCTCTGTCTTGCAGGCCCTGTGGAAAGATGTCAAGTCCCGCAGGGCCCTAGTCTCTTGTGACAGAGCGTTCCACCAAGTCGGGGCCAGTACTGAAAAGACCAATCTAACCACCTTGTGACCTCCAAAGTGTTGTCATTTGTGGACCTTAAGGTCCTCCACGGGGCATACCAGGAGAGGTGGTCCTGTAGGGACGTGGGTCCTAGGCCATATAGGGCTTTAAAGGTTAAAACCAGCACCTTAAGCCTGACCCTATACTCCACCGGGAGCCAGTGCAGTTGGTATAGCACTGGATGAATGTGATCCCGTGGCAAGGACCCATAAGGAGTCTCGCTGTGGCATTCTGCACCCACTGGAGTTTCTGGGTCAGCTTCAAGGGCAGCCCCACGTAGAGCGGGTTGCAATAATCAAGTCTGGAGATGGCCGTCTAATGGATCACTGTGGTGAGGTCAGGGTGAGAGAGGTAAGGGGAAGCAATCCAAATACTAGTCTTATTTTGAATGGCACTCCTGATGTCTCACACAAGGAACTGCTTACTGTTGTTAGATTTGTACACCTTAACCCATTAACAAAAAATGCTGAGTTGAGAGAGCATTTTTTAGGTTTTTTCCCAGTGACTGACACTACCGGACAAGCACCACCAACATTTTTGTTGGATATTTTAAAATCTTCAAATATTGAACTAGACGACATGCGAGGTCAAGGATATAACGGCGCAAATATGAGAGGCAAAAATATAGGCCTCCCCCCAAAAATCTTGGATATAAATTCATGTGCTTTCTACGTTCCTTGTGTTGCTCACAGCCTCAATTTAGTAGTGATTGATGCCGCTAAAAGCTTACTGGAAGTGACTAACTTTTTTTCTGTTGTTCAAAAAATATATGTATTCTTTTCTGGGTCGACGTCACGTTGGCAAATTCTCATGCACCAGGTGCTCACTTTAACCTTAAAACCATTATCTTTTTTTTTCTTCCAAAAATTTTATTGGTTTTCACAATATTATAAACAAACACACAAACATACAAGACAAACAAACATAAATCATAGCCTTATTGAAAATTACACTTATTAACTTTCTTAAGTGACTTCCTCGCTTCCCCTTGGTTGAATTTCATGGCATGTCCTTTTAACGGTTTTCCAAATCCCAATTCTTATGAAATTTAACTTAAACATTAACATCCTTAAATCTTCACCTTATGGAATTAAACATATTAATTCATCACTTAACATAAATAAAATAAATAAAATCTGCAAGCTATTTTCAATTAATTTAACTTAACAAATTTAACTAGATAATCATTAAATTTATTCCACTCTTCCTGATACTCCTCCTCCTTCTGGTCGCGGACTCTTCCGGTGAGGTCAGCTAGCTCTGAAAAATCCATCATCTTCATCTGCCATTCTTCTATTGTTGGTAATTCTTGGGTTTTCCACTTTTTAGCTAACAAAATACAAGCAGCAGTTGTGGCATACAAAAATAATTTAACATCTTTCTTGGGCAATTCCAAACTTGTTAACCTTAAAACCATTATCAAACACATGATGGGAAAGCAGAGTGGAGGCGTTGAAAGCACTTCGTTTTAATATGGAAGAGGTTTACGACGCCTTATATTCCACTTTTTCAGATAGAGAGACAAGGAACACAGCAAGTTCACTGATGTTGAAACTGAAGTCTTTCAAATTCATTTGTTCTTTAGTGACGTGGTATAGCCTATTAGTGGAAATTAATACTGTTAGTAAAACGTTAACAAAAGTCTGGTGTCGTTCTTCCGGAAGCAGTTAAAATGATAGAGCAGGTCAAAAATGACTAAGCTACAAATCGTACAGACTCCACGTTTGACAAAATGCTGTTAGAAGCTAAATCAATTGCTGAGGAAACAGAATGCGAAACCGAATTTACAAGCGCTGCACGCCCACGTGCCAGAAAAAGATTTTTCAGTTCTGAGCTTACCAATGAGCAAATCACAAATCCACAGAACAACTTTAAAGGAATTTTTTATTTTTATTTGTTCGATGTGGCAATCGCAGAATTAAATGAAAGATTTGAACTGTTAAGTGAACACAGTGACAATTTTTCATTTCTAAAAGATATAGACAAATGGAGAAAATTAGAGACAGGCCAGAAAAGAGCAGACTGTTTAAATTTGCAACAGAAATTGACTTCCGAAAGTGGGGCTGATGTAGACGGAGAAGATTTATTTCACGAGCTAGAACTATTACCTATTGTTTTCCATAGAGACACAACTCCGCTGGATGTTTTCAAATAATTTGACGTCAGTATTTCTGAACTTGTCCATATTGCTATGTATATATTTAACATTACCAGTGACGGTAGCCGAAGGTGAAAGATCCTTTTCGAAATTAAAATTAATAAAAAATTATTTAAGGTCAACTATGACTCAAGAAAGATTGACCAACCTAGCCATGATCAGCATTGAAAAGGAAGTAGCAGTCGATACTGACAACCTTATCAAGGATTTCCCTGCTCTCTGCCTGGACCCTGATGCTGGGCTGCAAGACCGCACTGTAAATGATCACATTTCCCAAATGTCTGATAGCCAAGTTCCACAACTTTTCACAGGCTGGGAGTAGTGGCTCCCTCTGATTGTACACATTCTGGAATTAGACTTGAAAAGAAAGTACTAGCACAGTTAAAATCTAATTAGATTTTAATTTGATCCTGACTTGTTTTTAGGAGGTAATTATTGTTTGATTTTGTACCAATGTTATATATTTGATGTTAGCCGCCCTGAGCCCAGTCTTGGCCGGGGAGGGCAGGATACAAATAAAAGTTTATGTTTATTATAATTTGTGTTGTGGATATTCTACTGCCATAGTTTACTTGACACAGTTCAGACTGACCAATGCCTTGTTTTCAGTGACAGTCGCAGCAGTTGAAGCTGTGAAATGTGCCAGGGGCAAGCATTTTTGGTGTTGTGAATTCTACTGATGTTAACAACGTTATCCGACCAATAGTATGCAAAATCTCTTAACTGGTATCTGAAGCATACAGTATGTGTTAATGAGATGAAAGCAAACTAACCCTGGCTCCAATTGAGAAAATGTTTGATGCCCTTTTTTTTAAAAAAAATTTACTTATTTTATTTTCCCATAAGAAATATCCAATATCATTACTAGACATTCATTTTTCAATTCCCCCCCCCTCCCTGTTGACTTCCCCCAACTTCCATTTCTGGTTTATTGCATCAAATGTTACATTCTGCTTTTTATATATAATACTGTATTATCACATTGTTATACTCTTGTTCTCTGTAAATAAAATTGTAAATACTTTTTTTAAATCCTGACAGTGAGTCCATTTTTTTGTTTTGTTTCTGCAAATATATTGTAAAAGGTTCCCATTCTTTTTCAAAATCACTGTTGTCCTTTTTACGCAATTTGTCCATTAACTTTGCTAACTCTGCATAGTTCATCACTTTTAGTGACTTTTTTGTGGGCTGATTTCATTTTCCACACTGAACAATGTTTTATGACCAACCAATTTGCTAGACAGATTTTTTAAAAAACAAAAAATGAGCCTTTTAAAAGCAGATTTACAAGCCTCACAAAGATTAATTTTGGCTTGATGTAGTGGATTTCAAATTTTAATTATTTTCATATATGTTTGCATGTTGTTTTAAGGTCTTCCGTATTAAAGCAAAGGATTAAGGTGGTAGCAGAACCTTAGAATTTGAGGAAAAACTATACCATACAATGTACTGTATGAAACTATTTTACATGACTAATGCGGGTATTCTGAATTTAAAAAGAAATCAACATTGTTAAAAACAAGGTGTTACATAATAAGATTTGTCTTCAATCTACAAAAAACAAAACAAACCAAACAGTGTGTTGTATACTTAATAAGTGTGGATACCTAATGATCGTCTTCCAAAGCAGCTACTCTATTCCAAGCTTAAAAATGGAAAGCGTAATTGTCAGGGGTTCAGGAGCAGAGGCAAGGGCAAGGGAGGAAACAGAGAGCGAGGGGGAGGAGGCAGAAGAAAAGATGAGTGATGACGACGACCCGAGATCTCCGAGTCTTTCCAGTGAATCAGAAGATTCACAGAAAGGAGCACCAGTGGCCAGGGCAAGGGGGGAGCCTAGGGGGACACCCCAGGAAGATAGAGCCAGAGGGGACTCAG